AGTGTGATGACCACAGAACTATACACCCTTGTTTATACCCTCCAGCTTAGTTGGTGTAATAAGATCATAGTTTATATTTATTTATTTATTTATTTACACTTTATTGCACCTTAATTAAAGGATTACAAAGGGCGGACTTAATGCCTTTAGGCATTCTCTCCCAGTCAACCCGGGACGTGTGGAAATTAGGTGATAGGTGACAAAATAAAATAAACAATAGAGTAAATCAAGGAAAAAAAACTACTGATAAACTTAAAAATAAACTAATATATATAAATACAATAAACTTATATACTATAAAATATAATACAGACAATATATTATATTTACATACAAATATATAGGTACATAAATATATACAAATTATAAATACAAATAGATATATAACATAAACCTATAAATAAAATAACAACAAAGGTAACCAAATTGACCATACTAACTATCATTAAAGTGCTTGTGTACCAATCCTTTAAAGGCAGTCTTATTAGATGTATTTCTGACGTCATCGGGCAAGGAGTTCCAAAGCAGTGCAGCCTGAATGGTGAAGGATTTACTAACAAAATTAGTAAAATGTAGTGGGATACTTAGTTTGTTATTATATGAGGACCGCAGAGTTCTATCATGCGTTGAGGAAATATACTAAAATTTCTCCTTGAGATAAGAAGGAGTGGATGGATCATTTAAGATAGAGAAGAGAACAAGCAAAATTCTAGAGTCACGCCTCTGTTTAATAGTGAGCCATTTAAGGCGAGAGCGATAGTGAGAGATATGATCAAATTTACGAAGATTGAAAATGTATCTGACGCAATTGTTGAGTAGGCGCTCTAGCTTGTTAAGAAGATTTTGGTTTAAATCCGAGTAGCACACGTCAGCATAATCAATGATTGGTAGTATAAGTAACTGTACAAGTATAATTTTAGTCTTAAAGGGGAGAAAATTTTTCAAGCGATGAAGAGAACGTAAAGACCCTGAGACTTTACGGCATGTTTCGGAGATATGAACCCCCCAGGACAGAGTACTATCAATATAGAGACCAAGATTTTTAACTGAGGAAGAGAACGGTATCAGACGATCATTATAATAGACGGTGGGTAGGCTAGCGGCATCTATTTTTGCAAGCATCCTTGAGCTACCCATAATCACCGCTTGGCATTTCGTAGGGTTGACAGATACTCCAAAGCGCATGGACCAATCACGGACTGACTTGAGATTGGAATTCAATTTGTTAATTGCATTATGGATGTCACAAATGTCAGACTGTACATAAAATTGTAGGTCATCAGCATACAGATGGTACGAACAATCAATATTAGATGTGATGGAATTAATAAAAATAGAGAAGATTAAAGGAGAAAGTATACCGCCTTGCGGTACGCCAAAAATCAGGTCAACCCACTGTGAAGTCATTTGCTCCACGTGGACAGACTGTTGACGTCCGCGAAGATAAGATGAGATCCATTCCAGGACTGACGGTGCAAACCTATAATAAGAAAAAATAGCAAGAAGGATATCATGGTCAACTGTGTTAAAAGCGTTAGAAAAGTCAACGAGCACCACAACTGTAACTTTCTTGTTATCCATTCCTTCTCTAATATCTTCAGTTATTTTGAGTAAGGCAGTTGTAGTGCTGTGACCAGGACGAAACCCGGACTGAAAAGTACTCAGCAGGTTATGTTTATATATGAAATTGGAAATTTGCTTATGAACACAGGCTTCCAGAACTTTAGATAGGAAAGGTAAAACTGATATGGGGCGGAAATGATTGGGAAGTGTAGGATTGGATACTTTAGGAAGGGGTCTTATGAAAGCCTTTTTCCACTGACTCGGAAACTGACCCGAGTCAAGCGAAAAATTAAAAATATGCGTAATTGCGGGAAGAATAGGTTCCAGAATATTAATAATCATGGCTCTACTAATATCATCGCAATCGACAGCCTTGGATTTTATTGCCAGAAGAGTATTTCTTATTTCATCCTGATCAACAGGGTTAAAAAGAAAGACTGGTATGTCCGGAGACGGAATTGAAGCTATGTAAGCGACTGTTTGGGATCGGATTGAATGGTCCAATGCAGAAGCAGAAGCAAAATGAAGATTTTAAGCATCGTGAGAAAGAGATAAACCACAATACAAAGAAGGTGTTTTACCCAAACCTAGAGAACTAAGGAATTTCCACACATCAGCTGGCGAAGAATTACTTATATTGCTATGGATAAATCGGCGTTTTGCAGAACGTACCATCTGATTGCATCTGTTTCTAGCCTTCTTAAAAGATAACCAGTTTTCCTCAGATCTGCTCCTCTTGAACCGGGCAAAGGCTCGATTTCGTCTGCTCATGGCTTTCCGTACCTCTTCAGTCATCCAGGGAGCTGGTGGACGTCGTAGTTTTACTTTACGTACAGGAGCATGGTTATCATATAAAACATGAATTATGTTATTGAAAATAGTTACTTTATCTTCTACAGTGGATGCAGTAGCTAATGGCGTAAAATCTATTAGCGATGCGTCTTTCAAAAGCTTATCCATATTAATTCTACTAAAATTACGTAAGGACAGTACAGTAGGTTGATATTTGGGAGGTTTAAGGTTGTATGATACATAAATAAGATCATGGCGGGAAAATCCCGGCGCTTCAAGTTGCCCATATGACAGCACCCTGTCAGAGGAGTCAGCTATAATGAGATCAATCAGAGAGTCATCAGTGTCGATATTATGATGAGTTGCCTTTAAAGGAAGAATGTTGAGATTGACAGACTCAATGATTTTACGAAGCTTTTGAGACCGGACTGAATTTTTCAGTAAATCCGTGTTGAAATCTCCCATGATTATGCAGTGAGCGTACTCAGAACCAATGTTATCAAGAGCCTCTTCTAAATTGGCGAAGTAATTAGTGGAAGGAGGACAATACACTGCTCCAAGAATCATATATTTATAATTGTATACTAGAAAATTAAGACTACTGTACATCCATTTTATTATCATCTTATATTGTATATTATAATCTGTACCACCTTAGCTGTAAATAAAAATTTTTTCATTTCATTTTCATTTAATTTCAAAAAAATATTAAATGTACTGACTCTTTTTAATAAAATTGTTTTTGTTCTACTTTTTCTTATACTATATACTTCTCAAATAAGAATTTGGATTCCATCCAACCCGTCTAATTAACCTTAACCATTTTTTCTAATTAAAGAATCTGGTGGGTATCTGCTTGAAAAACGGCAAAATAAAATTACATTTATGGGACGCAAACAGAGGATTTATTTTCTTGTTGTATGGGCAAGTCTATCGATTCAATATAAATATAGATACTAATTTTGATATAGTAGAGTCAATCCCTAGCGTACATGTTAAATATTTCATATAAAAATGTATTTACCAAATTCATGCAAAGTATCAACAACGTGACTTTTTTCTTAGCAATATATCAAAATTAACAAAATATTTGAATACATTCTATATCTTAAACAGTATATATCATAAATTTTAACCAAAAATAAACTTATCATAAAATTGACAACGTCTTGAGAATTTACCCATGAAATGTGCAATTATCAGGATTATTTCTATTCTCAACACCGCAATCACTTACAGAACAAGTAACCATTTTGTAAAAAAGTTACTTACTAAAAATAACTACTATTACACTCTAAAAAATTACAAAATATCTAGGAGCTTATTTCTTGCATGCCGACTTGTGCCGAACAGTCATTCAAAATCGGTTACAGAGTCATGAGATTTGGTAGGTACCTATCCTTTTCTATTTTACATTTTTACCATTAAGAATTTTCTTCTCCCTTGAGCACTATGTAGGTTTCTACGCCAGTATATTCTAAATCTATGGTAACCATAAAACCATACCTATCTTTCTCTTGTCATTTAATGAAAAAAGAAAGATAAAGAGGAAGTTTAAGCTTTTCTTAAATAGTCGTCAACTTTTACGAGTATTTATTACTAAGAGTAATAACATACACACGTATGTATAGAGGGAATCGACAACTATACATTAAGGGAGTCATTATACTTATCTTGTTTTTATAATTTAATTTTCATATAAGACAAAAGAGACAAACCTGTATAAAAACACTGCGTGTAATTCATTCAAATCTAAAATGCCAAAGGTTACATTTAGTCTCGTTATACTATGCTGAATATAAAGAGTCGTTATACTGGTATCTTCTAATTTGCTAGAAAAATTTAATTATATGAATAGTAATTATATGTACGTGGTAGAGCCATGCTGCAGCTATATTAATAGTAATGGTTGTAGCACGAATGGGTCGGCTCGACTGGGGAAGCACCATGCTCTCACAGAATACCAGCGTAAAATAGCAGCTTAATGCTGCTGTGTTTCATATGGTAAGTGTAGAGAACCGGAGACCCTTTTTACTGGAAAAGAGGCAATCCATCTTAGTCCTCACGGCTGACAACGCATCTGCATTTTAATTCGCAAACGAAGATAGATGTAGATGTCTATGGGCCACAGCAACCACTTACCATCAGGTGGACTGTGTGCTCGTTTGTCACCCTTATTCTATAAAAAAAAAGAAAAAAAAATAAGTAGTTTAATATGTGACGTTATTTTACAAGACAATTTCGTACCCATCCTACAATGGTGTATAGATTTATATTTAAGTTAATAATAGTATACAGTATAACAGTGGTAGAGCCAAGCGGCAGCTTTTGCTGTGACATGCATGGGCCGGCTCGAACCGGGGTGGTACCACGACCTCACAGAAAACCAGCGTGAAGTAGAGGTTTACCTCTGCGTTTCACTTGGTGAGTGCAGGCGGCCGAAGACCCTTTTTACTGGAAATGAGGCATTCCATCTTAGTCCTCACGAGTGACAACGCATCTACATTTTGATTTGTAATAGAGGATAGATGTAGAGGTCTATGGGCCGCAGCAACCACTTACCATCAAGTATACTGTGTGCTCGTTTGTCACCCTTATCGTATAAAAAAAATACTTTCGTTATTAATACAAATTTATTGAAATGCTTAATGAGGAAAACGCAAGTCGGTATCACGCAAGTTCTCATCTATCCATCGTTGTGCCTGTTCCGTCATCTTTTCATCAAAATAGTCTCGCCAACCACCAACTTTTCCTGAAATAATTTGAAGATTAATAAGAACATTATGTACACATTTTTGTAATAATTAAGTAAAAATCAACTTCAAAGAATTAAAAAAATATTATAACTTCTGATATCGTTGCTCGCTGCCGTGTAGTGGCGATTAAGAATATCCACTACCCATATCTACCCGTGGGTGTCGAAAAAGGCGACAAAGGGAAACAGGCAGGAGATGGGCAGCAGCATCTTCCTGATAACAACAAATTTACAATTTAAAAAAAACTGCGGTTGCTAACCCGCTCGACAAGCGTGGCAACTATGGCAAATACCCCCCTATGATAAGAGTAACAAAGAAACGACCCCCAGTCCCCGGCGGTTCCCCTATTCCTGGCTACGGTGGCGACCATGGTAACAGCGGGGCAGGGGATGCTAAGAATCTCCGGTGGAGGTTCGGTTGCCACCTAAGACGACTCGAACTAGCAACAAACAACGCACGCATCCTGAGGACTGACGAGAAGATCGTGGAGCTGGAAGAAGAGATAGACAAGTTACGCTGGCATATTATAGGATTATCCGAAATCTGAAGAGAGGGGAGGACACGGTAATCCTCGAATCCGGCAACTTGCTCTATCACCGAAAGGGCGACCATCTGTCCCAAGGAGGTGTCGGATTTATCGTCCACAAGTCTCTCGTTAACAACGTTGTAAAGATTGAGAGTGTGTCGACGAGGGTTGCGTACCTTATACTCAGAATCACCAAACGGTATTCGATGACCGTCATACAGGTTTACGCACCAACCTCGACACACCCCGATGAGGAGGTGGAGGAAATGTATGAGGATATCTCTAGAGCCATGCATTCCTCCAAAACCCAATATACGGTGTTAATGAGAGACTTCAATGCAAAACTAGGAACAAGAGAGAATGGTGAGCTGTAAGTAGGGAAATTTGTAATAGGACAACGGAACCCAAGGGGCCAGCAGCTGGCCGACTTCATGGAGAAAGAGGGACTCTTTATGATGAACTCTTTCTTCCACAAGCGGCCCCACAAGAAGTGGACCTGGTTGAGCCCCGACGGTTCCACAAAAAATGAGATTGACTTCATTATGACGACCAGACGACAACTGTTCAGTAATGTCTCCGTGATCGCGAGGGTGAAAACTGTTAGCGATCACCGAATGGTTAGAGGCACACTGAACCTAAACGTTAAGTTGGAGAGGTCTCGTCTAATGAAGTCATCGCTCCGTCCCCCTCGTGCTCTGTTCCGAAATCCCGAAACGTTTCAGCTCAAGTTACAAAACCGTTTTCAGTGCCTAGAAGACTGCAATGAAGTGGACGATATGAATGATAAGCTCGTGGAAACTGTCCATGCGGTCGGACCTAATTTCTGTAAGACCCGCTGCCGAAGAACACAAAAACTCTCCGATCACACTCAATCTCATGGCTGTTAGACGGGAGATGAAGCTACATTCTTCAACAGATTTGACAGCATACAGGCAACTGAACAGACAGATCTCCAAATCCATGCGGCGAGACTTACGCAACTTCAATACAGCTTGTATTGAAGAAGCGATCGAGCGGACCCAAGGCTCCAAAGTCTTTGCCAGAGATCTGTCTGCCAGAAAGAGCCAACTGTCGAAGCTGAAGACCGAGTGTGTGTGTCTGTGTGTATGTGAGTGTGTGTGTGTGTATGTGTGTGTGTGTGTGTGTGTGTGTGTGCGTGTGCGTGTGCGTGTGCGTTTGCGTGTGCGTGTGCGTGTGCGTGTGCGTTTGCGTGTGCGTGTGCGTGTGTGTGTGCGTGTGCGTGTGCGTGTGCGTGTGCGAGTGCGTGTGCGTGTGCGTGAGCGTGTGCGTGTGCGTGTGCGTGTACGTGTGCGTCTGCGTGTGCGTGTGCGTGTGCGAGTGCGTGTGCGTGTGCGTGCGCGAGTGCGTGTGCGTGTGCATGTGCGTGTGCGTGTGCGTGTGGGAGTGCGTGTGCGTGTACGTGTTTGTGTGCGTGTGCGTGTTCGTGTGCGTGTGCGTGTGCGTGTGCGTGTGCGTGTGCGTGTGCGTTTGCGTGTGCGTGTGCGTGTGCGTGTGAGTGCCTGGGCGTGCGTGGGCGTACGTGGGCGTGCGTGGTCGTGCGTTGCGTGCGTGCCGTGCGTGGGCGTGCGTTGGTGTGCGTGGGCGTCCGTGATCGTGCGTTGATGCGCGTGGGCATGCGCGTGCGTGTGTGTGCGTGTGTAGGCTTGTGTGGGCGTGTGTGGGCGTATGTGGGCATGTGTGGGCGTGTGTGTGCGTGTTTGGGCGTGTGTGGGCGTTTGTGGGCGTGTGGGGGCGTATGTGGGCGCGTGTGGGTGTATGTGGGCGCGTGTGGGCGTGCATGTACGTGTGTGGGCGTGTGTGGGCGATTGTGGGTGTTGTGGGCGTGTGTGAGCGTGTGTAGGCATGTGTGGACGTTGGTGGGCGTGTGCGGGCGTGTGTGGGCGTGGGTGGGCGTGTGTGGGCGTGTGTGGGCGTTAGTGGGCGTGTGTGGTCCTGTGTGTATGCATGTGTGGGCGTGTGTGGACGATTGTGTGCGTGTGTGGGCATGTGTGGGCGTGTGTGGGCGTGTGTGGGCGTGTGTGGGCGTGTGTGGGCGTGTGTGGGCGTGTGTGGGCGTGTGTGGGCGAGTGTGGGCGTGTGTGGGCGTATGTGGGTGTTTGTGAGCATGTGTGGGCGTGAGTAGGCGTGTGTGGGCGTTTGTGGGCGTGTGTGGCCGTGTGTGGGCGTGTGTGGCCGTGTGTGGGCGTGTGTGGCCGTGTGTGGGCGTTAGTGGGCGTGTGTGGACGTTTGGGGACATGTGTGGACGTGTAAGGGCGTGTTTGGGCGTGTGTGGGCGTGTGTGAGCTTGGATGGGCGTGTGTTGACGTGTGTGAGAGCGTGTGGGCGTGTGTGGGCGTGTGTGTGTATTTGTGGGCGTATTTGAGCGTGTGTAGGCATGTATGGGCGTTTGTGGGCGTGTGTGGGCGTGGATGGGCGTGTGTGGGCGTTAGTGGGCGTGTGTGGGCGTGTGTGTATGCGTGTGTGGGCGTGTGTGAACGTGTGCTTGCGTGTGTGGGCGTGTGTGGGCGTGTGTGGGCGTGTGTGGGCGTGTGTGGGCTTGGGTGGGCGTGTGTGGGCGTGTCTGGGCGTGTGTGGGCGTGTGTGGATTGAGTGTGTGCGTGTGTGGGTCTTTATAGGTGTTTGTGGGCGTGTGTGGGCGTGTGTGGGTGTTTGTGGGTGTTTGTGGGCGTGTCTGGGCATGCGTGCGTGCGTGCGTGCGTAAGTGCGTGATGCGTGCGTGCGTGCGTGCGTGCGTGCGTGCGTGCGTGCGTGCGTGCGTGCGCGCTTACTTGCGTGCGTGTGTGTGTGTGTGTGAGTGTTTGTTCAAACCTTTCTTTTTCGTAAAAATATCAATGTCTGCAAAAAATTGGTTATAAGTGTAACAAATCCGATTTATTGATGAGTTTTGGCTATATTTTGTATGAAAGTGAGAGACGGAGTACATTTTGATATGTCTTGTACGATATATATGGGCGTTGAGAAGTCAATAAGCCCAAGTAAATACGAATCATCGAGTCGGCCGTGAATGAGGTCATACAGTGTCATTTGATGAAGCATTTTTCTTCTATCTTCTAATGAGAGGAATTTATGGTATACACATCTTTCTTTGTAAGCCTGAAGTCGTTCTTCCATTTTATAGTCCATGAACTTTAAAAATTTATTTTGTAATACTTCTATTTTGTTAATATATGTATGATATTGTGGACACCATATGTTGCTACCATATTCTAAGATACCGCGAACATAGGCATAGTATAATAATTTAATACAAGGTAAGTTTGAGAAGGATTGGCATGTACGTATTACGAATCCTAAGTTTCTGTATTCTTTATTTGTGATATAATCAATATGATTACTAAATTTAAGCTTGGAATCTATTAAAATGCCAAGGTCTCGGACTACCTGTACTTTTTGAATTGTTGATCCATTCAATCTATAAGTATATTCTACTGGTTTACTTTTGCGTGTGAATGTGCAAGTTTTAGTTTTTTGACATTAACAGAGATACGAATATTTATGTAGTAATGGTTCCTGTTTAAATCTTCTTGAAGCTTATAACAATCGTCTAATTTTTTAATTTAAAAAAAATATCTTTTTATCATTCGCATACAGCATGAATGAGGAATGTTTGAAGCATGTATATATATCATATAGATAAGCGTTATATAGGAGGGGTGTGTGACCCTAAGCGAGACCCTTGTGGTACGCCAGGTGCGATTTTTATAAAGTTTGATTTCTGTCCTCCTACAACCACTGCCTGAGAGCGATTTCTTAGGTAAGAATCAATCCATATCAGAAGGTCCCCATGTATTCAAAATATTTTTAAGTTACGAAGCAAAATGACGTGATCCACGCGGTCGAAGGCTTTTTCGAAATCCGTGTAGGTCACGTCAACCTAATCTCCGCCATCCATATGATGCATAGTCAAAGTGATAAAGTGTGTTAAATTACTAATAGTTGATTTCCCTTTGAGGAAACCGTGCTGAAATTCTGGTAAGCCCCGACTTATGGTAGGTAGTAGGTAAATGTATTCAAAGGTTTTCGCAAATATATAAATTATAGATATGGATCTTTAATTTTGGATTTTAACACGTGCTCCTTCTTTAAATATGGTTAATACATGAGCTTCTTTCCAGATACACGGGAAATAACCTTCCTGAGTAGTAATTCAACATCGGGATACGAATTAGCAGGTGGGTTAAAAACACTTTTGAAAAATGAGTTCAAGGCTTCTACAATTGCGGGGCCTTCGCTATAAGTTATATTATTATACGAGATTCTATTTGGGTAAGAAGAAGTGATACCACGTTTTGATTTAATATAAAACCAAAAACAATTAGGGTTATTCAATATGGCTTGTTGAGTAGTCTCTAAATATTTTTGATAACACTGTTTATTATATATTGATGCACGCCTACGCAATAAAGAGAACATGTGCTAAGTTATGAAATTTTTTACAGATTTTGTGAGCTTTAGCTTTTTTCTTTAATATATTAATCAATTTATTATTATACCATGGTGGCTTTTTTGTATTGTGAGATATAGATGGTACACTCGGTACATATTTGTCTATACTATAATTTCATTGTTTGTAAAAGAAATCTACAGCTTCATCAATATTTCCAGTATATAAATGAGTGACCCAGTCGATTTCACATAAATATGTGTTTGTTTTAACAAAATCGGCTGAATTAAAATTACGTTTTTTAACTTCTCTCCACTCTCTCTTTAACGGGATTTTTAGCTTGCACTCTTGTGCAGCTTTCTATATTTCCGGCGCTCATCACAACACCCACTTTTTCTGCTATGCGTAATACTATACTGGTTAGATCTTCATTTTTACTTTCTGGTATTCCCACCATTTCTACATTCAATTGACGTGCCCACTGTTCTTTTCTTCGGTTTTGCGTGGAAAGCTTATCTAATATCACTTGCATTTCCGTGATTTCACGACTTTGTATCTTAAGTTTTTCTTCGGAGGAATTTGCGCGTTCTTGTAGGGTATCAATGCGCTTGTATGAGAATTCTAATGCCTGGTTTCCACGCTTGCCAAGTCTCGGCAAGCATCCACAAGCACAAGTGTGTAAAGAGGGCGTTTGGGTTGGCTTGCGTGAGCTTGCGGACGCTTGTCCCCGATCCGGGCTAGTGTCGGTTTTTGGACAAAGATCAAAGAGCGCTTGCGGCAAGCGCTTGCAACGCATTCACACGTTGGTGCGCGTTTAGTAGAAACTGTGATTTCGCGACGAGCGCATGTTTAGTTCTTTGTATAAAATGAGTGACTGGTCGAACGAAGATAATTTATCGTTTCTGGAATATTACCAGACCGAATCGTCTATCTCGAACCCCAAAGACGTTAATCATAAAAATAAAAAGAACGTTGCAAATGCTTGGAGTCGCCTTGCCGAGTTAACGGGAAAGCCAGTAAAAGAATTAAAAGCCAAAAATTTCTTGTTTTTGTATTACTTTGCTTGTATTACAAATAAAAGTATGTTAAACTAAACGCAATAGTCGACACAAGTTCGGTGTCCGCCATGCTTGGATATACGTAGCATACTGACGCATTCACAAGCATGTAAACAACTTCCAAACGCCAAACGAGATTTGTGGACGCTTGGGGCTTGAAGACGTTTGCCGAGGCTTGACAAGCATGGAAAGGCACCATAAGGAGATTTGCATTTCTGTGATTGTGGCAGCCGTGGACTGTTGAATGTATAGCAGTTAAAGTATCCTAAATAGTTACTTGGTCCTGAGAAAGACTGTCTGATATATATTTAAGATTACATAGTTGTTCCTTTAATGACTATACTTCTTCATAATTTTTTTTAATATACTCATCCTGGGAAGTTTTGAAATCGGTAAGAAAGGACATAATCTCTTTCCTCAAGTCAAAATAGTCTAATTTCATTGTATTGCGTTGCTGTGTAACCTCAGTATCACATTTGGCAAGATCGGGCTGGCAGCTAGCAAGAACAACTTTAGCCACAGACGGAGATCTTTGTACGTTCATAATGTATTAGAACCAGTGTAATGAGATCTGTAATGCAGTTGTTTCGAACGTCGAGTAGGATAAAAAATTAAGAGCCTGTGCTCTTTACTCGAGGGGGTGAGATGTGGGGAGCGAAAAACACTGCTAAACAGTTCGCATAAATTATGACAGAGTTAAATTCCTTATCTAGTGCACAAGATTGTCGTATTTACTTTAGACACTTAAATATTGATATTAGATTGTTGACCACTTTTAGATAATTTAGAATGACAAGTAACACGTCCGCTCAGTACTAACGTTACGGTGGTAATTTTTCATTTCGGCTTTAGTGGCATCGGACGGCAAAAACGCCACCGTCCCAATAAATGCTGCTGGACTTCATATATACACAGAATATTTATTATTACTTAGACACAAACCATTATGATATGGATTTGCAATTTTAAAAATAATATTTGGTGTAAATTTCAGTATATTTCCTTAACGCATGATAGAACTCTGCGATCCTCATATAATAATAAACTAAGTATCCCACTATATTTTACTAATTTTGTTGGTAATTCCTTCAACATTCCGGCTGCACTGCTCTGGAACACCTTGCCCGATGACGTCAGAAAAATATCTAATAAGACTGCCTTTAAAATATTGCGAGCGCGCGATGACCTATTATTAATCTATGACTATGATAAGAACTTTATGAAGATATTAGGTGATAGTTAATATGGTCAATTTGGCTACCTTTGTTGTTATTTTATTTATAGGTCTATGTTATATATCGGTTTGTATTTATAATATGTATATATTTATGTGTATATATATATATATTGATATATATATATATATATATATATATATATATATATATAAATACAATAAACTTATGTACTCTAAAATATATAATTTATACCGTTTGTTTACACGTTTGTACACAATTCTATGTACCTACATTACACTCCTCTGCACTAGATTCAGACATGAATATAACAACATACAATATATTATACCCTAAACCAAAAATGACTACAGTAATACTTAAATACTAGCGCATGTACCGCCGTTGGTTCCTGGACTTTGGTATCGTTCTCCGTCGTATTAGTAGCACCCACTGCAGCCGCGTCCCGCTTCGCTGCTTCGGGACAGGTTGCAATTTTGACAGCGTTGGTGAACAGCAGCGAATAATCCTCCGTGAACGACCGTTGCCTGATGATGTCGCTTCGCAACCCGCAAATAAATTGATCACGTAAATTCTCATTAGGTATCGCACTAGATTTACGATGCCGAGCCAGCTTCTTTAACTCCGCAACGTAACTCGCTACATCTTCACTGTTAGCTTGTAAATGCTGACGTAGGAGTTCCACTGCCGCATCGTAGGATAGTTAAGATGTTTTTTTTCTGGACTAGCCAGATTTGCCAACAAATTGCAGGTTTCATGGCCTATTACTACGATTAATGTAGATAATTTTAAGTGCGTATTTATTTGATTGATTAAGAAATACATTTTAGTCTATGCACATACGATGACCATGCTTTCAGTTCTTAAATCAAATTCACTGACATTTTCTACCGACATTCTAATCTTCGGCACTACACTTAAAAAGTTTCTTCTTTTTCGCATCAAACAACGTCTCTCAAATCTTAACGCTATACCATACTCGTTAAACATTGTAATATATAAAATGAGAGACCGTTCGTTTGCTTACACGTTTATTTTACAACTGACCGCCACCCAGACGATCTCGCACTCGCTACACAATTCTATGTACCTAATGATTTCTTATATTTAGGCGAACACTACACATTGAATGAAACTACTTTTACGGATTCTATCGCGTTTAATTAACTTGTTTTTTATTGATTCCCGACGTTTCGGGTACTTTACAGAACCCATGGTCACACGGGACTAAGGTGATTGACGTCCCGATGTCAGAGTTAACCCGGAGTACCTACAGCTTTTTTAATTATTAATTTTGGTCCGATCTACGTAGCATTCTACGATCTTGCAGTGGTATGCTTGGGTTTAGTTTTAATTTTATTAATTACAGGATTCCAAGCAGGTGGTTGTACCCAGGATATGGTCACAACAGGGAAGTCTGCAGTTTGTGATCATATCCTAGACGACCCCCGCCATTACATTAGATTTGAAAAACCACAAATTCTCGCCAAAGGACATCAATTCCTACCAAGGATGATACGTGAGGCTATTGAAATTAAAAAACATCCTCACTTCAATAGAGAGGGAGGCTGGGTATATATCATAAAATATTTTTATTTAAATTATATTTGGATTGAAATTGAATTTAGGTCCATAGACAATCGAAAAGCTTAGAAGATGGAAACAGACTGCGGTGGCCAATCCGCTCCAATGTAATCTTCACTGAACCTTAGGCTAAACCAGCATTATAAATAGACAGTGCAGCACTAAGCCGAACAAATACAGTGTATAATAGATGGCAAGTTCACCTTATTGTGGCAATTAAGGAAAATATTTTCAACAATGGGGGAGGTCTACGTTCAGCAGTGTAATATTAAAGGCCAATAAAGAAACATAGAATACATACCTTTTCTAATAAAACTCTCCTTTTCATTCCATAATCCAGTACCCTTCATATTATCTAAATTGACAGATTTGTTTTTTTTGAAATTATCAAATTTGAGGTGCTCGCATAGTTTTTCTATCTGTTCCTGTGTTATCTCTTTGCCAAGGAATTTGGCAACGCGACGTACACATGCTGGCAGATCCTGAAACGAATTATTTTTTATTACACTCTTTATCATAGCTCAGTAATATAAAATGAATTTTATTAAAATGATAAGTTATATAGAAATAGATGTTTTATTTTTGTACTGATCACGATTGTTTAACATTAAACTAAGACTCTTTGTTTGTATATTGCATATCAGTGATAAATGTCAATAAATAAGATAAATGTAGGCTGCGTGGTATGTTTAATTTGTTGAGTAAAATATAAAAAAGTTAAATAAACTAACACTAGTTTAAAAGAAAATATTATTATAATACTTTCCCTCCCCCCTTCCATCTGGACAGCGAAAGCGATTAGACGTGCTCCCCGTAATCTTTTATAAATATTTTTTAATAAATTAAATTCCGACCAAATAGTTAGTTTTCGGCTAAGTACTAGGACTGCATAACTTTCGGGTGATACGCAGTAGTACGGAACGGATATGAAAGAGACACCAACAGTGGAGACAAAACTAAAGAGAACACCACCATCTACTCCGAAACGGGAAGCATCCTTGCTGCAGGTCCTTGAATCTGATGCAAATCAAGGCTTTGCTCCACCTACTGATACAGTTAATGTAAGCTCCAATGTGAACAATCGGAATAAAAATCGACCCTGTAAACGTCAGTATGATGACGAACTAGCTTCTTTAATGGTGGTAATGAGGAAATCCATTGGAATTTTAACTAAGCAGCAAGATACAATACAGGAAAGCATTAAAGATATTAAGAAACAAAACACTGACATCAAAGAATCCATGGACTTCATATCAAAGCAATATGAAGATATGAAAAACAAATTGGCCAAAATGGAATAAGATAGGAAATCCCATTTAGCCCATATTCAGAGTCTAGAACAAAAGGTATAAAATTCGGAGAGGTCACAAAGGCAAGCCAGTATTGAGCTAAAAAACATTCCTATACATAAAAAGGAATCAAAGCAAGATCTGGTGCAACTAGTTAAAAAGGTTGGGGAATCTGTCAATGTCTGTGTGGAAGAATTACAGATCCGGGACGTCTTTCGCCTTAAAACCAAAAAAGAATATAATCAGCCAATTATTGTGGACCTCACAACAGTTAAGCTAAAAGAAAATATATTAACTTCAGTTAAGGCCTACAACAAATCAAAGAAGGACAATAAACTAAATACTGGCGACCTTAAAATAGATGGCGAACCCAAACCAGTTCTTATATCAGAGAGTCTCATTGACATTGATTTACAGAAACTGCTCCAAACTCAAGACAAATTACTATCTGCCTACCAAAATTTATTGCTCCTGTTTCTTTTTGGTAATTCTTTATCATATTTGAAAATACTTTTTATATTATTTTTAATTTTTTGTATATTTACTCAGTTCTTTACACAATTTTATTTTTTATGGTATGTACAATTATTATACGTTGCCATAATTTGTAACACTCTTTGTGAACAAGGTTACCACATACACCTTATACAAATTAGATACGATATTCATACAATCTTTAGTTGTCGCAGAAACGTTCATACTTAAATGGAGGAACTATTACGCATCCGGTTCTACACAACTGATAGCTAGTATTTTTAAAAGGCGACCCAATGATGGATGTATCTGATGACATTGATTTTCTTGAAATATCTCACTTTATAGTGTGTAGTCCCAAACCTCTTATTAATTACATAGATTTATTACAAGGATATATTTCAATTATGCACATGAATATACGGAGTCTATCATGTAACTTTGACGCATTTAATGTTTTATTACAGAGAATCTCTTTCCAATGCGATGTCCTCGTTTTAACTGAATGCTGGTTGAGTAAAGTGTTAAACGTTCCAGATATACCTGGATATATATCTTATGCTTCGGGCTATTGCAATCAGAACGATGGAGTTGTAATTTTTGTCAAGTCCGAAATTAAGCATAGAACTTCATTAGAGACTGAATTAAAGGACTGTAATAGTCTTATTTTAAGATTTGGAAATGAAATTGCGATTATAGCTGTGTATAGATCATCATCATCATCATCATCATTACAGCTCTTCACAAGTCCACTGCTGAACATAGGCCTCCCCCAAAGAATGCCACAAAGCACGGTCCTGAGCCACCTGCATCCATCGACTTCCTGCATGTCTTACCAGTTCGTCACTCCATCTCGTGGGGGGACGCCCTACACTTCGCCTACCGGTACGAGGCTGCCACTCGAGAACCTTTCTTCCCCATCGGTTGTCGGTTCTTCGAGCTATATGGCCGGCCCACTGCCACTTCAGCTTACTAATCCGTTGGGCTATGTCGGTCACTCTAGTTTTACTGCGGATATCCTCATTCCTAAGTTTATCACGCAGAGAAACTCCGAGCATAGCCCTCTCCATAGCTCGCTGAGCGACCTTGAGCTTCCTCATACGGCCAGCAGTGAAGGATACAACAATATTGATAACTTTTGCAATAGTCTTGAAACTTGTTTGACTTTATTGGTGTCTGTTTTAAATCAGTTATCTTAATTATAGATATTAATATAAATATAGCTTTCGATTGCTTTGATTCAAATTGTAATAACTACATTGACCTAATGGCATCTCATGGTTTGCTTCCAACACATGTTACTCCAACGCGTATAAGTAGCTGTCTTGATCACGTTATGCTAAGATCAAATCGATGTTCTAAAACGTTTGTTCTCGATTCGCTCATAACTGATCATGCGCCAATTATATTTGTGTTAAAGGTTAAAATTAAAAGAAATCTAGCTAAAGCCACCATAAGGAAAATTGATTATTCAAGTTTAGTTTAGGAATTATCTGTAACAGACTTTAACCCTGTATATAACGCTGCGAATGCAAATTTAGCATCAAACTCTTTGATTGATATAATATATAAAGCAATTTCTTGCCACTCCACATTAATCTACGTCCCGCATCGTGAACGAGCTATTAAGCCCTGGATAACACCTGGTCTTGTACGATGCATCAGGAATCGTGACAAGTTACACAAAAAGGCTAAAGTGGATCCTAACAATGCCATATTACAACTAACCTACTCTAGGTACCGTAATTTTTGCAATAATATTTAAAAAAAAACTTAAAACCGAATTTGAACAAACCGAGTTCAAAAAGAATAAAGATAATCCCAAAGAATTGTGGAATACTATTCATAAAGTCGCTAGTCTAAAAAAAAGCATCTCCATCTCCCACTGAATTGTTAAACCGCGCCAAAGACCCCCATGAATCAGTAAACCTAATAAATGAATACTTTGCAAGTATAGGTAAGTCCCTTGCTAATGAAATACAAATTAGAAGAAGAACTTGTTTGACTAATTCCGTAAACATCACTCATATTGAATCACAGAGGGATTCAATGACTTTACTTGATGTGGATTATAATGAAGTTGATAACACTATTATGAACCTTAAAAATAATTGCACAACAGCTGTTCACAGCATTCCTACTCAAGTTTTCAGAACGCAAGGAGTAGCCTTATTCCACCTTTGACCCACATGATCAATCAATGTTTCGCTTCAGGAGTTTTTCCAAACATCCTCAAGAGAGCTCTTGTACATCCTATTTATAAAAACAGAAATAGAGATATGATATTGAACTACAGACCCATCTCGGTGCTGACAATAATATCTAAAATTTTGGAAAAGCTTTTAAATTATAGACTTGTTAAATTTTTAGAAAAGACAAATGCAATTGCACAAAATCAGTATGGATTTTTAAAAGGCAAATCTACTGATGATGCTACTTTGAATCTTACTGAGACTATTGTTACGCACCTTGATATGGGTCACAAAGTTGTTGGAGTTTTTCTCGATTCGTCGAAGGCATTCGACACTGTATCTATACCATTACTATTGAAAAAGCTGGAATTAATAGGTATACGCGGAGTCATCTTGGATATCTTTTGTGACTATCTCTCAAATCGGTCACAATGTGTCAAATTAGGTAACTACCAAAGTCTGGATGTCAATCTCTCTTATGGAGAACCATAGGGCAGTGTACTGGGTCCATCCCTCTTCCTAGTGTACATTAACAACTTGTGTAAACTTTTTTTAATAGAATTAGGCGTTACTTTGCGGAAATCCATTATATAAAAGCTTTTAAAAAAATTACTTCGCAAACATCCGCGCTTTAAAATAAAATGATGTGTCTTACCTAGTATGAAGAGCACCTCCCGCCCTCCCTCAATTGCGTGCACTATCCCCGTCAACACTAATCCCAGCACCGCTACTTCCAACACCACTACACTAGGCAAGACACACCACTGACGACAATACGACAATACGTTATTGTCGATATACACAAGGGCGGGAGGTGCTCTTCATACTAGGTAAGACACATCATTATATTTTAAAGCGCGGATTTTTGCGAAGTAATTTTTTTAAAGCTTTTATAAACTTTCGTTACCAAACTGCAAAATTATCACTTATGCAGATAATACAGCGTTGATTGTGCATGGTGAGGATTGGGCTCGGGCTCAACAACACACTGAAAATGCCCTCACTGAGGTAATGAGATGTTTGGACGACAATTTGCTTACGTTAAACTTAAAAAAGTCCATAACATTCACCCCACGGGCCAATACTCAACCATCCATCGACTTTTGTATATTTATAGAATAAATAGTTGCTGCGTTGCTGTCCTCAGTTATCACCAACACATAGCTTAAAATATCTCGGTCTGATTCTAGATAATCATCTTAATTGGTCATTACATGTTAAATCATTAACAGCCCGAATTAGAAAATTAATTCCTATCTTTACCTACTTAGAAAATCTGCTGATCGCGACACGCTAATGTGTGTTTACTATGCGCTTGTCCTATCTTTGCTCAAATACTGCATTGTCTCATGGGGTGGAACTAGCATTAGTACACTGCTTCCCCTGTAGCGTGTTCAGCGTGCAATCTTAAAAGTAATTTATAAAAGACCGCGTAGCTATAGCACGTCACTACTCTACCGTGAATGCTCAGTTCTTACGGTAAGAAAACTCTTTATCTTCCACACTATACTTCGTAAGTATCTAGGACTGCCATATGTTCCAACTCAAAAACGCAATAAGAGCAAAGTTTGCACACCTCCACAGGGAACCACTTTTGCAAAACGGCATTTTTTCGTAAGTTCCCATCTCTATAACATCGCAAATAAAGCTTTAAATATTTACCCTTTAACCCTAAATCAGTGTAAATTTGCTACTCGGGATTGGTTACTGAATTTAGATTTTGACGAGATAGAAAATATTATTCGTATCAAAAACCTTAAATAAAACACCTTAATACACTCTCTCTCTCTCTCTCTCCCACGCACGCACACACACACACACACACACGCGCACACACACACACACACACACACACACACACACACACACACACACGCACACACACACGCACACACAGCCCCCCACACACACACACACACACACACACACCCAACAAATCATACAAACATAATTCTCTCTCATGCATTCACGTTCCCCGCTTACAATTATACCATACATCAAACACACCTAGAGGTAATCTTGCTTAAATTCTATTTTGTTTTGTATCTACCTGCATGTTATAATTTTTATTTGAGCTTAAAAGATTCTAAATATTATTTGTTAAGAAATGTTGTAAAAGATCTTACCTATTAGGTTATTATTTAATTCCCAGAGTGGAAGGCGCAGGCAGCCGTGGCACAGTTTATACTACGGCTGCCGACGTTAACCTCTCATTATAATTGATGCTTTTTATTTAAAGAGAGAGTGTAAGTCACGATATATATATATATATCATCATTACAGCCCTTCACAAGTCCACTGCTGAACATAGGCCTCCCCCAAAGAATGCCACAAAGCACGGTCCTGAGCCACCTGCATCCATCGACTTCCTGCATATCTTACCAGGTCGTCACTCCATCTAGTGGGGGGACGCCCTACACTTCGCCTGCCGGTACGAGGCTGCCACTCGAGAACCTTTCTTCCCCATCGGTTGTCGGTTCTTCGAGCTATATGGCCGGCCCATTGCCACTTCAGCTTACTAATCCTTTGGGCTATGTCGGTCACTCTAGTTCTACTGCGGATATCCTCATTTCTGAGTTTATCACGCAGAGAAACTCCGAGCATAGCCCTCTCCATAGCTCGCTGAGCGACCTTGAGCTTCCTCATCCGGCCAGCAGTGAAGGACCACGTCTCAGTTCCGTATGTCATCACTGGCAACACGCACTGGGTGTACAGTCTCGTTTTCAAGTTTTGAGGTATACCTGACGAGAAGATGTGCCGTAATTTCCCGAACGCTGCCCAACCGAGTTGAATCCGTCGATTGACCTCTCGGTCGAAGTTGGACTTACCTAGTCGGACTATTTGTCCCAGGTAAACATACTCGTCAACAACTTCGAGCTTAGTGTTCCCAACAACTACCGGCATAGGTGTGACATGGACATTAAACATGATCTTTGTTTTGTCCATGTTCATCTTAAGACCTATCCGTTGGGAAACACTATTGAGGTCATTGAGCATATATATATATATATATATATATATATATATATATATATATATATATATATATATATTAATATATTATATTATACTAAAATCTCTATGGAATAATTCCAAATAAAAAAAAATATAATAATTATTATTAGTTTGCAGTATTTATATAGTTTTCTCATGTTGTGTGGCTGTATATATATTTTATTGTATTCTTTACTGGCGAGTATGAGTATATGTAGACAGCGACAGAATGCGAGCCGGAGGTAAATAGAAGCGACACCATTTCCAATCCCATTCTTTATCTGCTCGGGTAGTATATGCTATGCTAGTATGATACCGTATCACTATCTTCACGTCCCCAGTATAATATTCCATAAATGAATCTGAATGCAAAATAATAATAAATATTAGCACGAAAAATTATTTCAAGTTATACATTTCAAACAGTTTACCTCAGAAAACATGCAACTTGCAGAAATTAAACCAAAATGAAACTGTATAAATGAAAACGCTTATTATTTTTAAGTCATGTTGATAAAAAAATCGACAATTAATTGGCTTGACAGATGAAAGAAGAAAGAAAGAAAGAACTATTTATTTGATATACACATTTTACACACATTAAAAATATATTATATATAAAAGCAAGGGGTAAAAGAATGCATGTACCAGTCTGCTTACGCATTTACAATAATTGAGGAGCAGTACATATACATACACAACAATAATTAATAATGAAACAAACAAACAAACAAACAAAAAAGTAAAAAGCAAAAAGGAAAGAAATCAATATGAAAATGTGACATCAAATAGGTCTCCAACTCAGCATAATGCTGCAAATACAGCGCTGGTTTTCAGTTGGAGCCTTGTGACTTCACAGACAAGTCGGTTTGTGATCTTCCAACTACGAGTTATATACCAGTTTATAGTTATCTATTAACAATTACGAGTTAAAAGGTAGTGCTAACATATATAACGTATACACACATACATTGAGACTAAACCTAGCTAACAGGTGTATAAGTGTTATATTACTGTATATTTAAATAATACCTATTTATATACTTATACATACAATATTAACATGATATTTGACTATTCTGAGTATTTTATGGGGAAGACAACTTTTACTTTTTTCATAAAAGTAGATAATTTAATATTCTGAGTCAAAGAAACACGCCATGTTACGAGACCTGCTGGATTTTTAGAGCAAAAAGTAAAAAATGAAAAAAAAATAAGATTGAAACTAATAAATAATAAATAATCATTCATCAAATAACAGAAACACTTTAAAAATCAATAATATTCGAACATAAAAAGTGAAGAACAAATATAAATATTGCTATCATCGTACGTTCGAGACAGTTAATACGTATTTTGTACTTGTTGTACCAAATAATGCAACTTTAATTGGTTTTGATATTTATATTTATATTTTATTATAGTTTTTAATATTGTATATAATTAAATTTAATAACTTTTGATGTTGTAATAAATATTATTTCATAAAAAACATTTGTACTTGTAGTTTTCCTTTTTTTTATACATAGATACCTAATTAATAATTTATTTTAAATCATTATTTGTTTTTAAAACGACTTAACATTTTTAGGGAACAAATAGGTGGTGGTAAATTATTCCAACAGCGTAATGATTATGAGGTAACGTTTTCATACGTACACACCGTGGTAGAAGAAGCATCGCATACTAGACTATCAGAAGAAAACAACACAACATCACGCTAATACATTATTCTATTATGTTTCAAAAATTCTTAAGACACCATGCTAATTATTAAAGAATGTTATACATGATATGATACAGCATCACTATCTTTACATCCCCGGTATAATAATCAAAAAATTAATCACATTGCTAACGAAATTTTCCCAAATGTTTCGAAATATATTTAAATGCGATGCCAAAAACGGTAAGTAATGAGTGCTGCAATCAAAAAAATATTTAGAGCATTACATTTCAAACAGTTTACCTTAGAAAGCTCTTCATAAAACAAAAACAGCATGTTAGGGTGGTTCCGCATTTGCCACGCTTCTTTAACGTGTTCAAATAATGGCGTTGGGGCAACTGTAATATAAAAACCATATTAGTGTCTTAAAAGTGAAAGGGAAACTTAATCTATCTCTTTTTTCGAGAAAATATTATTTCAGAGCATTTAAATATTTTGAGTTTAAAGTTTACCGTCTGACTTTCTTGCATTAAAATAAATACTATGATCACCCGAATCTGAGCAAACTCTTTTAAGCGCTATACCAAGTCTCAGTATAGATGACGCAAAAAGAACTGATCAAAAATAGAGTGGATGCTAATTAAATCAAAATAAAGACGAACGATTTAGGCGAGTTGGTGAACTCAGTAACACTTCTCTGAGCTATTGTAGATTTACTACCATCAACGTGGATCGTCGAGTGAACTCTGGCGAATTATTCAAGGCACGCGACCCACTCATTTATACATCAAGTGTTGAGGTTCGTTAAATGGTTGGGCGATCAATGTAAAGTAGACATCCAAGGCAAGACACCAGAGGCTTCAGTTACAAAAAAAGTTATAGCACTAATCAATAAAACAGCTGAGTATTCCGGATACAGTCTAACAGTATCACGGTAGTTTTTGTAATCCTTTATCATAATTAGTTTTTGGTCATTTTCTATGGAGTTGTAACGAAACTTTTACTAATCCATTTATAATTTGATCGACTATTACTCGTTAACTTCTTAGTTCTACTTAGCTGTGGTAGTTTTACTTTTAACTTCATTATATATACTACTATTGTGTATACCTTTCACATTTCCATACAGAGCGGTTTAGTTGGTAGAGGGGGGTACATATGACTCTAATGAAAAATACCACTTTAAAGCTAAATATTTTGCAAATGGACCCCTGAATCGAAAAGATGTTGTTCCACGCCCCCATTGGTTTTGAAACACCTATCCAAAGATACCCTTGTCTGATTATTCGTCTTCTATGTCTTTCCATCTAGTTAATCTGATTATTATGAAGCTTTGGAGAGTAGTTTTGCACATCACCGCGAAGATTTTAGACTAACTTGGTAAAGCAAAGATTGATATTGGTTGTTAGTAATAAAATTCTACCCATGACGAACTTTATAAAGTTGGGCGAAATATTCGTTTTTGAAATAAAACGTATATCTAATAAGAAAGATATACTTTACATAAATTTTTAATACTTACTTAAATCATTGATAAAGAGTTCCCAAAACGTCTTGAAGTCCACGCCGTCTAGGAGCTCCTTCATCAATATGTGTTGATGGTAAAATGACACAACTACGTCACGGGGGTCCCTAGCTACGTAAAAAATCTTACATGTGTCCAATAGCTTTTGTGGTAGAAGAGATAATGGCAGATGTGATTTGATAAATCTCGGGGAAGCTATACTTAGAATTTTATGCACTTGTAACTTGTTTTCCTCTACCGTTTTTCTTAACTTTTCGTCGATTGGCATATCTGCCATGTCATTGTTATTCATAAACGTCTCAAATCTGTTGGATGTGTAATCAAACTTTGATTAAATATATCCTCATAAAATCAAAAAGCAAGAACATAAAACGTTTAATCTAGATATCTGTGTATTATGTTTTAACAGTAGATTTAGTAATTTGTATTCAGTGGAGGAATTTGATAAAGCATATAGCAACTTTGGGGCTGCTTAACGCCGGTCAAAATATATCGTCTATCGAAAGCCATCAAGATCGTTCTGAAATTTCCCATAGTCAGTAGCCCTTTCACGACACCCATGTAACAAAATGAGGTGGCAGATTTTATTACGCCACGGCTGTACGTATATAGCTGGCTGTAGCCTATAATTTTATAATAGTAATAATAACCGTCGACGTCTGTTGAGCTTGTCGCCATCCCGGTGAGTCACTTAGGCATGTCATCTCCGGTTGTTCGGCGCTTTCTAACACTGAGTATTTGCACAGGCACAACTTAGTAGCCAGGATTCTACACCAGGAGCTCGCTCTGAAATACGATCTCGTAGATCGGAAACTGCCGTATTATAAGTACTTGCCGGAAGCCGTACAATACGTAAAAAAAAGTAAAATGACCGCGCCAGGCTCTACTGGGACCGGGCCTTCATCACAGACAGGACTATTCTTGCGAATGAGCCTGATATTGTGCTGATGGACCGGGCACAGTCAAGGATATTTTTGGTCGACATTACCATTCCTTATGACGAGAACCTTGTGAAAGCTGAAACAGATAAGCTGACAAAATATCTGGACTTGGCTCACGAGGTGACCGACATATAGGGTGGACTGCCGGCCGAAATTATACCTGTAGTCGTCTCTGCGAATGGGTTAATTCCAGTCAGCCTCTCGGGTCATCTGAGGCGACTGAGACTTCGTGACGGACCGCTACAAGCTCAAATGCAGAAGGCGGTGCTCCTCGATACCGCCCGCATTGTCCGCCGGTTTCTTTCCCTTTCCCCCTAACCCTCGGCCGTTTGGTCTCCCCTGCCGAGGGCTTCCATCTGGTTGGGTATTTATATATTTATGTATTTTTTATGTATTTATTTTACTTTATTGATATTTATGTACGTTTACCATGATTATTTACAATTATATATTTATATTTCCCAACCAGATGAGAAAACTTTATAGATACCTCATAATAATAATAAAGTGTCTTGTATATGGCGGGTAGATACGTAATGGGGTGGTATTTGCTCGCGTCTGTGGTATCCTGGACTTTTGAAACTAAATGAATGACCCCAGTAGTGAAGAGACTCGGGAGCGACTTCTGGTCAAGAGCCTCTTGGAACTGTCGGGCGAGCACAGCGTGACACACCACGGTTCCCTTCAGCTAGTAGTGATGCAGTCCGTCGAGCCCTGGACTCTTCCAGTTCGGAGCGCTTCGGACCGCCTCAGCTACATCGTCCGGCGTTATGATGATGGGGTTCATGGGTGTAATATTAGCACAATGACACGCCACAACTTCCGTCAAGGGGCCCTCGCTGTGGTTTACGGGCTCTGACCACATGCCGCGCAAGAATGCGACAGTGTCGGCCTGATTCGGTGCTGGGTCGTTATTCCTGTGGTCGTTTCTGCGAACGGGCTAATCCCATTCAGCCTCTCAGGTCATCTGAGGTGACTGGGACTCCGTGACGGACTACTTCGGACTCAGATGCAGAAGGTTGTGCTCCTCGATACCGGTTCGTTCTCTTTCTTCCTAACACAGCTGTTTTGTTTCCCATGCCGAGGGCTTCCATCTGGTTAGGTTTTTATTTATTCATTTATGTTCATGTAAATATTTTATTTTATTTAGCCCAACCAGATGAGAAGTTTTTATATATATATATATATATATATATATATATATATATATATATATATATATATATATATATACCTCATAATAAATGTAACTTAATCGTACACTATAACTATTTGCAGAAAAAAGAAAAAATTATATTCATTAAAAAACATGTATTATCTTTAGTAACAACACAGGTTTCGACTAAGGTATATTTTAAAAAACTTACTCTAAAAAAATATATCTCACGGCGAGTGGGGTTTCCAAAGCCTTTTCATAATCAAAGTTGTTTAAAATTAGCCAAACCAGTTCCTGCGTCCATGTGGTACCTGTAATTAATACTTATTAGAATTCGTACAGATATTTTTAGATTATTCCTACGCCTGCCACTACATGTGAAGGTACTACATGTAATATAATCACATAAATAAGTTGGGGATGAGTCGCTCGCGGCTTCGACCACCTGACCCACTAGGCCCACCCTACACGTGTCCCCCGGGTGGTGCTAAAAGAGCGACAAAGCCGATAGGATAGACTCGGCTCCTAGTCGTATGATAGCGGCGTAAAATCTACCACCTTTTAGTTCGCACCATGAGCCAACAATTTAAAGGAATGGCCCCGTGTTCCCGGCACCCCTTTAATGGGGCAGGGGTGCGAAGTATCTCTGGGAGAAAAACCGGCGACGAGGTTCGACACCCGTCACGTCCGTCTCCCGGAGGGGCGAAAAGTGGATTGCGGAGGCCCTTCTGGCTACGCTGAATGTATGTGGGGCAATTAATGATAAGATGGATGAAGAATGCGAAATGATGAATGATAGAGGAATAGATGTGTTATGTGTGAATGAGACGAAACGAAAGGGAAGACATGTCACTGCACATGGCATGTATACCGCTTACTGGTCTGGTGTAGACGAGACCGAGCGGGCATGCCAGGGAGTCGGTGTCATCCTTTCAGAAAGAATGAGTCAATGTGTGATAGAGTATGAATGTGTAAGCCCAAGGCTGCTGTGGATACGAATGAAAGTGGACTTAAGGAGCTGTTTATGCTTGGGCTGTACGCCCCAGATATGTCTCAGCCCACTTATATCCGAGAGCAGTTTTGGGACATGGTAAGGCTGGTGTTGACGAAATGTAAGGAAAATGAAAATATTATGATGTTAGGAGATTGTAATGGAAGGGTTGGGGTGAAGAGGTCTGGTTATGAAAGGATATTAGGAACGTTTGGCGATGAAAGAATAAATGAGAATGGTGAAGACCTCCTCACCGTATGTGTGGAAAAGAATCTTTTTGTGGCGAACAATTTCTTTCGCCATAAGAGGATTCACATGTATACTTGGGAAAGAGGGGATGATAGAAACATGATAGATTTCATGATTGTGGATGAAAGAATAAGGAGCGCAATGGTAGATACAAGGGTTGACCGTGGGTCCAACGTAGGGACGGATCATTACTTGGTCTTATGTCGAATTAATATCTATTCAAGCGTTGGCGGCATCGGAAATCTGTGTCTACCACTGCGTTACATCATATAAGAATAGAGAGGTTACAAGTTGAAGGTGTGAAAGAGAAGTATAAATGCAGACTGAGGGAAAATATAAGTGTGTTGAATGAATTATGTATGAATGATTTAGACTTGAAGATTGTATGGAATTTATTCCATACATTCTTAAGAAAGTTTTGGTTTACACAGCCACCGAAGTATGTGGTGTCAGTAAGAGAACGAAAGAAAGGAAAAGTAAAACGTTGTGGTGGGATGATGATGTACGGATGGGAGTTGAAGCAAAGAAAAGAGCATGGCTACATTTACTAACAACCAAAGCTGGTAATTTTGGCGGTATGAATGATGAGATTGAAAGAAAAAAGGCAGACTTTAGACGTATAAATAAGAGAGTAAAAGAAGTTGTTGAAAGAAAAAAGCAAGAAATGATAGAAGGGTATCTGATAACTTCCAGGTAAATATTAAAATGTTCTGGAAGCTCGTAAAAACTGCCAGGGCAAATTCAAAACAGCCTAGAATGAATGCTATACGAGACGAGAATGGCTGCATGCTGAATAATGAAGTTTCGAATTTAAAGAGATGGAAGGAATACTTTGAATGTTTAAGAGTGAAGAGTCGTCTGAATTAAGTGAAATAGAAATTCCGAGAGAAATGGAGAGAGGTAGGGAGATAAAAGTAGATGAAATAATGAAAGCAATGAAAAGCATGAAAGCAGGTAAGGCAGCTGGATATGATAGAGTATCACTCGAAATGCTAAGGGCTGGAGAGTGTATGGTTGCAGGCCTGCTGTACATCTTGTTTAATTTATGTTGGGAACTGAAGCGGGTGCCGGAAGACTGGTGCAAAGCCGTTATAGTACCAATATATAAAGGAAAGGGGTCACAGCAGGACTGTAAAAACTACCGTGGTATCAGCTTACTTAGCATTGTGGGTAAACTGTATGTTAAGGTGTTAAGTGAAAGAGTTATGGAAGAAACTGATGGAAAAATTTGGGATGTGCAAGCTGGATTTAGAAAGGGGATGGGGTGTACGGATCAAGTCTTTTCCATGCGCATGATTGCGGAGAAATTTTTGGCCAAAAACCAGAAAGTTTTTTGTTCGTTCATGGACTTGGAAAAGGCTTATGACAGAGTGGACAGGAACGTGTTATGGCAAACACTGACCTCATTTGGGTTAAGCGCAGGTTTGATACAGGCATTAAAGTTTCTTTATATGGACTCTAGTGCTTGTGTCAGGATCAACGGGGTTTACTGGTTTGGCATTCAAAAAGTTGTCAGACAGGGCTGTGTAGCTTCTCCGTAGCTGTTTAACCTATTTATGGACAGTTGTTTGCAAACTTTGAAAGTTGAAGAATGTGGGTTGAGAATGGGTGAGTTGACCGTCAAATGTCTTTTGTACGCCGATGATCAAGTCATGTTTGCATCGTCGGCGGCCGAGTTGCAAATGACGGTTACTTTAATGAATTGGTCATTAAAAGAAAGGGGTATGAAAGTGAACGCAAGTAAGACGAAAGTGATGGTTTTTGAAAGAGAAGAAAGTAAAACGTTATATGAAATAAGAATAGAAGGGGAGTTGATTGAGCAAGTGGATGAGTTTGTATATTTGGGATGTTTATTTAGCAGGGATGTTAGATATGATAAGGATATAGAACGACGAGTGAACGCAGGAAATAGAGTGAATGAGGCTCTACACGCTATTATGAAGAGTCAGAATGTGTCAAAGAAGGCACGTATGGCAATTCATAATGCTGTGTTAGTCCCTACATTAATGTATGGTAGTGAAAGTTAGGTCAGGCAGAAGAAGCATAAGAGTAGAATAAATGCTGTAGAAATGCGGTCATTAATGAGTATGCTAGGGCTGAATCTGAATGACAAGGTGAGAAATAGTGTGATAAGAGAAAAGTGTGGTTTGCAAGATGACGTTGTGACCAGGATTAAAAAATGAATGCTTCGGTGGTTTGGTCACGTAAAGAATGAACGAGGAAAGAGTGAAAAAGCAAATTTATTCTTTAGTTCTGGTATTTCGGCAACCCGTTGAGACGCCAGAGACTCAGCATGCTATTGACGCCGAGCTTGGGCTCAGCAGCTCTGTGTGCTGCCACACGCACCACTTGTTCAAGCCTTCGCAATTCAGCTTGTGGAACTGTCTCGTCAAGTCTAGCTACTTTCATAACTCGAGCTTTAATAGAGCTTTGGGAGAGATTAGATTTACGGTTTTGTGACATTCATAGTAGCTACTTTTTCTATACTACCAAAATATCAAGTAGAGAAGCTGTTGTCGTTTAATACTTAAAAAAAAGCAATACCTGCCTATGGAATTAAAATAATACTACAAAATAAAGTAATAGTACAAGAACAGAAGAATCACTCTCTGATAGCAAATTTGCGAATTTAAACCTAGTTACAATATCGCTAATGTTTATAATACTTTACACGCCCCGGAAGCGACCTTTGTGAAATTAGCCTACGTCGAAACAAACACTTATGCGGCGTGGGTACTAAATCAAAATGCACCTTACGTCCGCGTGAGAGTGTCTGTATCACTTAGTCTGTTACGCGCTTTTGTTAAGGCCTCCCCTATTGTAGGGTTAGGTGTTGTTTGAAAGCAAATTGAATCTTTGGTATTAGTTGCTACTTGGAACATAGTAGAATACACCGAGGTGTTATGCAATGTATTAGTATATTTTTTTTTATTTTGTTATAAAAATCTTTACCCCCACACTAGGATTGTATTCTGTATCGTGGAGGCAGTTAACAAACATAAATTGCACAAGGACTAACATCTAGACCCGGAAAAATTATTTGTAGGCCATACAAATACATGTTCCGTACGGGATTCAAAACCGTGGCCACAGCGTTGCAACTCATTGTTAAGCCACTGCCCCACGGAGACGTCAAATTGCTGATAATAAAAACACTATTGTTCAAATTGAGGGAGGTTAATATGCAACATCGAAGAAAATTAAGATTATAACAATGTGAACGTCTTTGAAACTCAGATAATTTACCTCCTTACCATTTTTAACCGACTTCAAAGAGGAGGAGATACTCAATTCGACTGTATTTTTTATGCGTGTTACCACAGAACTTTTTTCTAGGTGAATCGATTTTGATGACTCTGTTTTTATTTGAAAGCCGGTGATAATTTATACATCCCATATAAATTTGATCAACATCTGACCAGTAGTTTAGACCAGGAGTTATCCTTAATAATGCGTATTAATGTTGAAGGCGCTTGTATAAAATTATTAATTTCATTAGTCGTCTCTCTTCGTCTTTTTAAAAACGTTACCTCCACACTAGGATTTACTCCTGTATCGCAGGTACAGTTTACATTTATTGAGGATACCGAGAACAATTATTTATAGGCTATACAAATACTTGTTCCGTCCGGGATTCGAACCCGCGGCTCTTAGCTCTGCAAATCATTACTAAGCCACTGCGCTTCAGAGCCGTCACTTGTCTGTTTCACATTTTTTGCGATTTACAAACGTGACACGCGACGTTATTTTATGAGAGTCAATTTCTCTTTTTATCTTTCTTTTATCGACCAAGTGTTAAACAAAAAAACAGTATATGCTGATCTTGCATTAGTAGGTAGTCACTAGTACTGGGAGGTCTACTTACACTGAACGTTTTTAAGGTCATTGGCATTATACGCAGAAAAATCGAAAACTGCGAAGCTATAGCCGAAATCAAATAATAAATCTGTACATTTAAATAATCTGGAGGTAGCCGTGGTTAACTATAATATTGGGACGTCACACACTTCAGTCCCCGCCGTGACCATGGGTGCTGTAAAGTGCTTGAAACGTCGGGAATATAAAGTAAGT